TTTTAAGATTTGAACTGTGAAATAACTTCTGGTCAAATACAAAATGAGCATTGCAAATACCTAATGTGTGCAATTTATTTTTTTTCTTCAATTCTAAAACTATATCCTTATCTATTTTCCACGTTCCTACTAGTTGTGTTAAGGGCCTTTGTCTCTCTGTTTTATTTGAACAGCATTGGATACAGCTATCAATCATATTCAAAAGAACACAAGACGTCAGATCTTGATCTTGTGAATCTATATCTTTTTCTGATTTTAGTATCGACGCCAAATTAATATTATTATTATCTTCTTCCAGTTCTGGTTCTAGTATCGATGCCAAATTAATATCATTGTTTTTAGTCTCTATATCCAAATCCTCCCAGGTAAGTTCCTCATCTTCATCTATATCAACCATCATGCGGGCTTCTTCAAAACTAACTCCATCCCATATAAAAGGTTGCATTTCAATTGCACAATCACTTGTGATACTCTCAGTTCCAAAATGTTCAGATGCCAAACTTTCACTAAAAAACTTGTGCTATCATTGTCCATAATGTCATCATCATGATTAATGCATTCATAATTTCCATCAATAAAGTTTAAAAAAAAAGTCCCTTCTTCTATTTAATATCGACGTTAATTTAGAATTCTGTAATTTCAAATGAAGTTTCTTTTATATTGCAATGTTTATTAAAAAAAATAAAGCAGATAATATATAAAAGACGAATATGAATATTCTTTTTGCTTAGAAATATGACTATACTAGCTTGTGGTTTAAGAAGCTATCATTCAATTAAATATAATTTTTACTAATTTTCTTTAAAAAATGATAGGAAAATTTGTATGATGATCCTCCAATTGGGACAGTTGCCCATGTATTAACAGACATAATTTGTATTTGATGATCTATTTCTTTAATTATAATTAATCAGTTAGAACATCAAAAGTCTGTTTGATGAAAGTCTAATTGGCAGTTCATAACTTTTTATTTGAGCAGTCATTGTGGGCTGCCGTGAAAGTAATTATTACTGCCCATTGAAATTGAAAAGTTATAACTTCTGTAATTATGGTCTAGGGCTTTACAAATTTTAGTATTACGAATCCAACTTCAATCTTAGAAGCATTTTGATGTTCTAATTTACCGTTATGAATTTTAGGGTAAGCTTAAATTCATCATAAGGGTGATAGACACTAGAACCAATAAATGCAAAAGATAACAGATATTAATATAAATGTGGTACAAGAATGACAGAGAGAAACATAAACTCAGATTTAATGGTAGTGAAAGGTCATTTTTTTTCAAGCTTACTAATCATAATACCAACAGATAATTAATAATATATTATTAACTTATTAATACTCCAGCTGTGAACTTCGAAACAAAATTAGTATTTTACGATTACAAAGTTTATATTCCTAGTAGTAAAAAAGAACACTTGAAATGTCTTAAAGATTAAAT